GGTCGAGGCTGCGGTGACCAGAAGCAGCAACTGCACTCCAGTCTGGGCAACAGAGTGAGACTCCAACTCAAAAAAAAAAAAAAAAAAAGATATAAATGTAGGGCAACCGTCTCAGGTCCCCTCCCACTGTGGGAGCTTTTCTGTCCTCTCAAAAAAAAAAAAAAAAAAAAAAAAATATATATATATATCTGTCACCCCCAAAAGTTCCCCGTGTCCTTTGGAAGTCAATACCCTCCCAACCCAGCATCTGACAACCATTGTTCTGCTTTCTGTCACAATAGCTGCCTTTCTAGAATGTCACATAAACACAACCATACATAGGCACTCTTCTGTGTTTGTCTTTGTATAACGCTTTTGAGATTCTTCTCTATTGCTGTGTATATTGGTAGTTTGTTCCAATTGCACCACATCCTCACCAACATTTGCTCAATCTTGCTAATTTTAGGCATTCCCATGATTTTATGGTGATATCTCATTGTCCTTTTAATTTGCATGTTTTCATGTACTTGTTTATTTTCTTTACTGACCAAATCTTCTGCCTTAAAAAACAAAAACAAAAAACCAGTTGGGTTTAATTGGGCTATTATTGAGTTGTGAAAGTTCTTAATATATTCTGGATACAAGCCTTTTATCATATATGTTTTGGAAACATTTGCTGCCAGTCTAAAGTTTGTCTTTTTATTTTTATTTATTTATTTTTTGAGTTACAGTCTCACGCTGTTGCTCAGGCTGGAGTGCAGTAGCATGCTCATGGCCACCCCACTGTCAACCTGCTGGACTCCGGTGATCCTTCCACCTCAGCCTTCCAAGTAGCAGGAACTACAAGCGCATGCTGCCATGCCCAGCTAACTTTTTATTTGCTGTAAGATGAGGTCTTGCCAAGTTGCCTGGGCTGGTCTCAAGCCCGTGGGCCCAGGCAATCCACTCGCCTCGGCCTCCCAAAGTGCTGAGCCACTGAGCCCAGCCTCTTTATTTTATTTTTTTTAGTTGGAGTCTCACTCTATCACTCAGACTGGAGTGCAGTGGCCGCTCCCGGCCACAGCAGTCTCGACCTGCTGGGGTCCGGTGATCCTTCTGCTCAGCCTTCCAAGTAGCTGGAACTACAGGTGCGTGCTACCACACCCGGCTAATTTTTTGAGTTATTGTAGAGATGAGGTCTCGCCAAGTTGCCCAGG